AATTTTTTTGTCCTCTGAGAACTAGTTTTCACTACTACAGGATAATTATCACTGAGAATTGATAGTCTAGTTATAAATGGTGAGAACTTGGAGGCTAATATGGAGCAGAGCACCAAAGCACCTGGCTACACCTCAAAAGCTGTGTTCAAACCCTTAACCCTTTGGTTAGCAACCAGATTCATAACAACTGCACCACCAGTGCTTTTTTTACGATGATTCTATGTTGTTACTGTTGTTAGGGATCAGTGAGTCTAGCACACCTCGTAGCCAACCCACGAACAATGGACCTGAGTCCTGTGCCATCCTCATTATCTCTGATACACTTGATCCCATTGCTGCAGTCACCATGTCAATCCATCTCATTGGTGTCTTCCTCTCTTTTTTTGACCCTCCACCTTTCCAAGCATGATATCTCTTTCCATGGGACAGTCTTTCCTAGAAATATGTCCAAAGTATCAGAAATGAAGCTTCACCATCCCGGCTTCCAAGAAGCATTCTTGTTGCACCTTTTCTAAAACATATCTGTTCATACTGTTGGCAGTCCATGGAATATTCAACACTCTTCTCCAATACCACAACTCAAAGGCATCATTTCTTCTTCTGTAATCCTTATTCACTGCCCAACTCTCAGATGCTTAGCAAGTAATTTAAAAGACAGTGGTCTGAATCACGCACATCTAAGTCTTCAAACTGACATCATTGCTCTTCATTACTGTAGAGAGGTCCCTGACAGCAGACTTGCCCAAAGCAATGCATCTCCTGCTGTTCTCTAACTGCTGATACTAAAGGTGTTGATTGTGGATACAGGTGAGATGAAAGCATTGACAGTTTCAATCCTTTCTCCATCCATCATGATGTTGCCTATTGATCCAGTGGTGAGGATTTTTGTTTTATTTTTTCCCCAGTTGGCTTTTTTTAAAAAAAAAATTATATTGGTTTGCATATAAAATTAATATACATTGTGTTTCACACATTCCTTCAGTCACATTGTGTTTCATACGACTATTCCCATACATTGTATTTTAGAAAATGAATCACTATTGATCTATGCCCACTATTACTTCATCAAGTCCCCACTGGATCTTCCTAATTCCTTTACCTCCTCCTTCTGCCCACCAAACTCTGTTTTGATCTTCTGCAGCAAGTATGCCAGGTCCTGCTTACTGTCAGCAAGTGATGCCATCTATCTAACACTGGTTGTTGATGAGTCTTCCTCTGATCCTCACGCCACATTCTTCCTCATAGAGACCAATTTCATGAGTTATTTGTTCAACATACACATTGACTAGGCATGCAGAAAGGATGCAACCCTGACTCACACCATTCCTGATTTTAATCCATGCAGTATTCTTTATTCCATTCAGACAACGGCTTTTTGGTCTAGGTATAGAGTTCATATGAGCACAATTAATTGTTCTGAGATTCCATTCTTCTACATGTTAGCCATAGTTTGTTGTGATCCACACAGTTGTTAGGTGCCATTAAATCAACCACAATTCACAGCAACTCTGTGTAGAACAGATCAAAATCTTGTTTCATCTTGTGTCATCTTCATAATCTCAATTGTGCTTAAGCCCATTGAGGTGGTCACTTGTCAATTCATTTTACTGCAGGTCTTCCACTGACTTACACCTTTCCAACTAAGATGTCTTTTCCCAAGGACTGATCCCTCCTGAAACATGCCCAAGGTGTGTGAGATGAGGTCTCATAAATTTGTTTCTCAGGTGCCTGCACCCCTTCCAAGACAGCGTATCATCAGAGATTTTGCCCCCTTTACCCTCTGTGAGATAAAGAGGGGAAATCTTCCGTGCAATTTGCTGCCTCTGAAAACCCACTGTAAGGGCAACTATTATTCTGTTCTAATCCGATAGCACATAAAAATAATGTAACATCCTCTGGTGGCCCTAGTGGTAAGAAGCTGTGCTGCAATCCCACAAGTAGAGCAGTTGGAATCCACCACAGAAAGATGGAAGAAAGATGAGTAATGTCCTCCTGTGCGATTTACTGCTTCTGAAAACTCCCTAGAGGGTCAACTATGGGCTGATTGTAACTCAAGGGCACACTGCAACAACCCCCCACTCCCCATTACAGACACAATGGAGAAAATAGCAACAATGTAATACTCAGATTGCTCATGAAGTATTTGAAAAACAGGCAACCAGAAGTGTGTACACTCTGAAATAATTCTTACTGCCTGCCAAACACTGAATGAATGACTTAATGCATATTATTACCTCATGCAATGCTCACACAATCTCACTGCATTTGATAGAAACAGAGGAGGAAGAGAGAACTCAGAGACATTAAGAAACTTTTTCGTGGTCTATCAACGTGGTACATGATAAAACTTGATGTTCCACCAAGTCTGTGGAAATTCAAGCCCGTAATATCAGTCTGCATAATACCATCTTGGAACCCATACAGTCATGCCTGGTTCAGAGAGAAAATGAAAGTCATTTAAACTGGAGAACACATAACCAAGCAGAAAAGAATAGCTATGTTAAGACAAGGGAGCTATGGTGGCTGCTTCTTCTTGTTAGGTGCTTTCGAGTCAAGTATGATTCATAGAGACCTTATGAATAGCTGACCTGGACCTTGCCCTATCCTGTGCCGTCCTCATCATCTCTGACACACTAGAATAGATGTTGGGTCTTTATATCTTTATATGTAACTTTATATACATCTTTATATATATCTTTATCTTTATATATAATATATATAACATGTAACTAGGCAAGTTATTCCATGGAAAGGGACATCATGCTTGGAAAGATGGAGGATTGTTGAAGGAGAGGATGACCCCCAAAGAGATGGATTGACATAATGACTTCAGCAATGGGCTCTAGTGTGTCTGTGGGTTAGTAGTAAGGAATTGCACTGACGAAAGATACACAGTTAGAATTAATCATCTGCCCCATGGGGAAAAAAGAGGGGCAGTCTCCTCCCATGTGGTTTACTGTCTCTGAAAATCTACTGGAGGATGAGCTATGGAACAGTTCTGACTCAAGAGTACACCACAACAACATACTAAAACAATTAAAGAATTGTTGCAGAGAATAACAAGGAAGTAGATGGCTTACTAGAAGAAACAAAGTTCTATAAAAGAAGAGGGTGAGTCCCTTGAAGGACCAGGACCAAGTATCTGTCATTTTTCAATCCCTCAGTCTGATGTTTGAAACCTAGGAAGAGTTCCACAGGTGTTTGTTGACTGAGGAAGGAAGTAAAGTTTCCCAACAGTGAAATGGGTTGACCTGTGAAACAGTGAAAGCCTAGTCAATGCTCCCCACTGTGAGGCTGGCTGGCGACCTGGCAGTGCCCAGCAGGAGAACTTGGATGAGGGATGGCTGCCCCTTCTGTATCCTTGTATGAGATGACCTTGAAAGCCCCTGGCTGCTCAGTGATTCTATAATTATTGGGCTGTGTCTGTGACTCAGATGTTGGCAAATCACAAACTGTCTGCCATTCATCAGTGCATTGAGATTTCACAAGGCAGGGAATGTGAGTAAATGGGCTCTGGGTCTTTCAGAAGCCAAGCTTCAAGTCCTTCCAACCCCATCAAGAGGAGTCAAAGATGACTCACTGTAACTCCAGGGAGTTATAAACCTCCCTATCCTGTCCCAAAACCTAATCTGGAAATAGGGACATTTTATTCTTTAGAAAGAAAGATTCTTTGCCTGTGAGCTTTGGCTGTTGTCAATGGGGTCTGAAAAAAGGAAAGGGACACTCCTTCCTAGCAGATGGTTAAAAACCAAAACAACACCAACCATTATGTCAACAAATGTATTCCTGACAGTCATTTGCTATGGGTCCTCTGAAAAACCTGAGTCTCTCTATCTACTGTCGTTCCCCATACCCCGTTTCCTTTGGTTCTGTGCTGAGTGACCTGTGGCTAATGCGTGGAACTGTTCCCTATCTCTAGCACAGAATAAGACCCAAAAGAGTACAGCATATATTTTCTGCTCAGCCTTCCCAGAAGGCAAAAATGAGTAGCTCAAAAGGATGATGAATTTTACTGTCAACACTTAGGCTATCAGATCTTCAGATTCGACTTTCAAAAGGTTCATGCAGCCTGAAAGGAACAGAACCTTTTAAAGCAAAGCCACCCAGTAACACTAGGTAACTTTAGTTGTAGGTAGGGTCCAATCTACAGCTTTAATTAACACCCACATAAGCACCAACTCTATTAAACTAGCCAAACTGTGCTAGTCTGACAAAGTTTTAAATAAATCATTAACTGACTAAAAAGTAGCACTCCTTTGTCTATAGATCTCACAGAATCTGTCTAGTATAACCATGTTATTATTTTTGTGTTGGCCCTGAGCTTTTGTGTTTTACTCTTCTTTCATCTGTTTTCCTTAATTTAAAGAGCAAACCTCCCCAGGTTGTGTCCGTAGTAGAGCTTCCAGATTAGAGCAAGCTGCTTCAGGTGCTTTTTGTTTCATGCTCTCTCAGATGAATCCCACATGGTTCTTAACTGCATTGCTCACCATCCCATCACTTGCAATTCTAACCCTTTCATCAAGGATCTGAATTCTAAGATTTCTTGAGCCTTTATCTTTATATTTTGAAAGAAATATACAACAGAAATATAGTAAATTTGTGAAAGCCACCTGATTTTATACCCCCCCCTTCCTTCAAAAAGAAAGTAATGGTCTCGATATACTGTGGATTAAAGTTTCCACCTACCAGAAGAAAACAATGACCGCTGATAAAGGTCAGCAGCTTTGCTTGAAAAAACATCTCCATGTGCAATCTTGACACAATAAACTTTCATTAGCAGCTTTTTGACAATCTGCCGCCTTCTACCGAACTCGGTGGTAAGTTCTTTTTACAATATCTTACATTGAAAACTACTAACCGGATTTGAATATTGATTGAAAGTTACTGAGACACAGCTTGCTTACACAGATGGATCCAGTCCACAGAGATGTTGCCAGTGGAAATGTGTACACAAATGTTGCTTTGCACAGACAGATGCGTGTAGGACAGATATTACTCACATAGACAGATGTCCACCAGGAACACGATATATACCAAAAGCTCTCTCAAAGTGGTCTTCACGTAAAGCTCCCGGTTCTCAGCTGTATTCTCCGTCAGGTTTGTTCCCCAAAGCCCTAAGGAACATTGGAGAGATGCCCAGGGCCCCCAATAGCACTGTGTCTCCAAGTTCTCGGCACCTATCTGTCTCTGAAGTCTGCCTCTATTTTGACCCCAGTGATTTCCACTACTTTATCTCTTGCCTGAATTTGGCAACTCTGGTAAGGTCTATAAGGGGGACTAATAAGAGAGATGAGAGCCTGGTTGCAGTCAAAATTTTTTTATCTGATCAGCATAAATAACCACAACAACTGATAACCACAGTATGGTGTGTTTTGTTGTTTGGGCTTTTTTTTTTTTTATAAATTTTTTATTTTATACTGGTTTACAGTGTGGTGTTTTGTGACCATTGAAAATTCAACTTCTTTTTCTGGTCCTAGAGATAATTTTCATAAAACCTAGCATTGAAATCTCAAAATAGATGATGTAACCAGTCCCAATGAAGGAAAGGGACTTCACTTAGAATTAAAGTTCTATCCTTGACTGTTTGTTTCTTGTCTATTTCATTATTGGCTTGTTTTTTTGTGGACTATGACCTCCTTAAAAAAGTATCTCCTTGGAAAGAGTGAGACATTTCACTCACACAAGCCTATCATAAATTTCAAAGTGTCCAGTTGTACAAAGGGTTTCTATGAGTCGGAGGTGAATGGACAGCACATAACAACAACTATACCTATGTCTTCCCTCCTCCAACATACTTCCTGAGAAAAACGTCATAGGCAGAGGAATGGTGGAAGGCACGGAAAGAAGGCCCTGCTCTAGGTAGAGCAGCCCAGAGCATCACCACACCCATGTCTCCCCTCACATTAGCTCCACATACCTCTTTGAGCCCCAAGTGATGGTCTCTTTCTGCTAAGAGACTAGTGGATTGTGTTCAAGGACACACAACTCTAGTACAGACAAGTCACAAACCCAAAAGTATTCCACAGAGATTTCACTCATCTTCAGGTTACCCCTAAATGTTTTTGCTAACCCCTTCTTCTGACTTCAGTGTCCCAGGATAACCTTTCCCCACCGCCCTCAACCAGGTACCTCTGATGCCTTGGCAGATATGGAGGCAGCAGCTGGACACCCGGGTTTTGTGTGCCTTCTCCTGTGGTCCATCTTCAGGTTGTTTGGGCTGGGGCTGGGGGGACACTGCTTTGGAGATGGTGCAGATCTTCAATGTCCCATGCGGGGAAGGGGGACCGCTGTAGGCAGGGTTGTCCCAGGCTTCCCTCTCCAGTTTTTGGAGCTTCTGCCTCTCAGGACCTTCCATTGCATTCATGAGGAATGAGGTGCAGGACCTGGCAGGCCAGGCACCAGCTAGTACCTGGAGAAAGAGAGAGAGCACAGTCCAGCTAAGACAACAGAGGCTTCTGAGAGCAGCTGTTCTCACACAGCCTGTCCCCTGTCCTTTTGTGGGGGAAACTGTTCCTGATGCAGGAGGAGAGGCAGTGCAGGAGGAGGGGTGGAGCTGACTATCTTGTCAGGGGCTCTCTCTCCTCTCTTGCTGCAAGTGTCAGGGTAAAAGATGAGAGGGCCTGGGAGGGAACTGGGAAGCAGGAGTTCAAAGAGCAGAGGGAGGAGGTGTGTGAGGATGTTCAGACTGAGGTTGGAAGGAGGGGTGAGGGAAAGCCATAAATGTGCATTGTGGAGGGCAGGCCCAGAGGTCAGACAGAACAGGTGACGACAGAGCGACAAACAGGAGAAGATGAAGAGGAGGGTGGGGATGCCATTGTGAGTTCGGGATCATTTCCACTAAAAGCTCCTGAAAGGGCACACATGGATTGAGGTGGGGACCAAGGCCAGAAATGGGACACTGAGATGAACCGCCTCCCTGCTGGACTCTGCCAGCCACACCGGGATTCCTTTAATGTCTCACCTTAAGCTGTCCCCACTAGGGTGAAGTTCACAAGAGAGGTTTCCTTCCTTCTTGTCACCTTCATTCCAGAGGGAGAAAGATAGTGGCAGGAAGATCTGCTGTCCTTAGAGACTCAGAAAACTCTCTTTCCCCTGAGGAGTAGAAAAGACAGAGTTCCATGTTGCCCACATCCTTTCTTAGTAAGTTTGTCCTCCATAGCTTATGAGGCTTCAGAAGACTTTCCTCAAGTGTGTGGGATGCAGTTCCAGAAAAAGGCTAAACGTTGGTAAGATGTGCCAGAGAACAAATTGCAAGGACAATGAGACTGAGGCACCTTACGGAGGAGTGTTATTCTGCACCCGAGGTCAAATGTCAATCTCATCCCATATCTCTGTTTAGTATTGAGAAAAGTAACTTGAATAGTAACTTGAGTACAAAACTCAAATGTAAGAGAAACCGGGAAGAAAATGCTGTCTTTCCAATCTCTGGTTTCTAGCTTCCAATCCTGGAACGCCCAGCTCTGACTTCTGAGCATCTGCCCTGGCTCACCTGTAGGCCTGTTCTGTGCCCCAGAATGGGGCTAGTCCCGTATCCTTGACGGCTGGTGAGGAAGCTGTCCTGTCTCTACCTCCTGGCTCTCCACCTGTTGTTAGTGGACATCAACTTGATTCCAACTCATGTTAGCCTTATAAATGCAGACTAAAGCATTTTCACAGGGGTTTCAAAGCTATGAACTTTTGGAAATAGATCATTAAGGCTTCCTTCTGATTTGAACCTCCAGTTTTTTGCTAGTGCTTAACTGTTTGAGCCACCCAGGGACACCAAGGCTCTCCATCTAGAGGTACATTATTGCTTGACTCGTCTTAAGTCCACTTTCACCTTCATGTGCAGTAAAATATCTGCCTGGTGGAAGTTACCGTCTTGTGTGTCCCCATAAGGAAATTCTGATTCAGTACAACACAGAGCTGGGCGAAGCTCGCTAATAAATAAAATTTCTCAGACTGGGTTGAAAATGCGCCTGTCTTCTGCCTGGGCTTGCTGTGCAGCTCTCCTGCCCCAGGCTGATAGTACAAAGGGAAAGAACATCCTGCCAGGATTGCAGCTAAGGACTTGCTGCAGACCTTCCTAGATGGAACAGCACCCCATAGCTCCAGTTTACCTACCAGTAAAATACACTTTGGATCTCTGGCGTCATAGTATATAATGCTCCAGACTATGAGCTATGAGGCTCTTGCTTGGAATCTACCAGGCACTCCACAGAAAAGATGAGAAATGTTCTCCTATGAAGACCTACAGCTTTGGCGATCTAACGGAGAGTCACTATGTGTTGGAATCAACTTGATGAAATGAGACTAAATTAAGGCATATTTTGTGATGGCCTCTTGTGTTGCAGATTTGAATTGCTCCACAGGGTTTTTGGAGCTGACAGGCAGCCTCATGGTGGATGGAGAAGAAATTGGAACTGTCAACAGCTTCATCTTACTTGAATCCAGAAGTAACACCCTTGGTACCAGCAGTCAGGAAATCAGAAGACACATTGCACTGGGAAAATCTGCCGTTAAGGCCCTCTCCAAATTATTGAGGAGTAAAGAAGTCAATTTGAGGACTAAGGTGTGTCTGATTCAGACCATGGTCTTTATGATCACTTGCTATGTATATGAGAGCTGGTTAATGAATAAGGATGATAGAAGAAGAGTTGATGTCTTTGAGCTGTGGTGATGGAGAAGGGCACTGAACATCCCATTGATGCCCAAAAGCACAAACAGATATTTCTTGGAAGGAGTGCAGCCAGAGTGCTTTTATAGGCTTTGCCTCACATACTTTGGGCATGTTGCTAGAAGGGCCTATTCCTTGGAGAAAGACATGATGTTAGGAAGGGTGGAAGGTCAGTGAAGAAGAGAAAGACACTCAACCAAATGGATTGACACAGTGCCTGCTGCAAAGGGGTCTTGTGTGTCAGGAAGTGTGAGGATTGCACAGGATTTTACAGAGTTCAGATATTTTGCTCACTGGGTTGCTATGAGTTGTACTCGACTCGACAGCACCTAACAACAACAACAACGATCATTATGGAAAAGATGGTCTTGCTTTCACAGGACTTCTGAGTGGGTTCAAACTGCCAGCCTTTAGATTAGTTGTAAATGTTGTAGATGTCCTGAAGTGGATTATGACTCTTAGCAACCTTCTATGTGGTAGAATAAAACCGGATGTAGGGCTTTCTCAGCTGTGATCCTTAAAGAGAGTAGATTACGAGGTTTTTCTTTCAACAAGTCATTACGTGAGTTTGTTTGCATCAAGCAGGGACATGGGAGTCACCAAGAGTTGGAATTTCCTTGATGGCTATAGGTTTGTATTTTTACCTTTTTCTTTTTTTCTTTTACCTTCCCCACCACCACCACACCACACCACGCCACGCCCCCCCCTCCACACCCTGCTTCGAAGAGAGAAGTTCCAGGCACACTTCAAGAGGTTTAATTTCCTGAGGAGGAAGAAGGGTAAAAAACAGTACTAGTATTTACTATCTTGTGTCAAATGGAAAGGGAAGTTGCTTCCTCCTAACCAACGAGCTTTTCAAACAATTGCAAAAGGTCCCTTCACTTGCAAAACTCGACCTCACACAGGGGAGCTGACCAGAAATTAAACAGTCTAATCCAGAAAAGTGGGACAAGGAACGAGAAAGGGTTTCTGACTTCCTTGCAGTAGTTTTAAGTTCTGGCAGAGACCTGTCACCAGTGGGGATTTGGATGGATTTGAAAACATGTATCATGGGATAATCGTACACCCTAGGAGCTCAGAGCCAGAGCTGGGCTTCTTATGGTCACCTACCTGGGCAGCACGCTACCACTCTCCACCGTTCCGTGCTGAGCACTCCCCAAGTGTGTGGATCAGCCCGTAATACCCCCAGGAGCATAGCTTATGAAACAGTTTGAGAAACTTTCTCAACGGCACTCTACATTCCTAGGGTGTTTGATCTTGCTCAAGAAACCGCAAATGTGACAATCAAGTATGATTTGATGCTTTTATAATTTGCCGTGTCCTCAAGCTTGTATTGCCTCTTGACTTTTCCTCAGTGACTAACCCCTGTTAGAGAAAAAAGTGTGGGGGAGATAAGTGTCACTTTTAGGGAGGTCCTGTCCTCAGTAAAACTCCAGACCCTTAATTAAGCCTTAAGCCTAACATGAAGCTCCTGGGCTTAACTCTTTTCTCAGCAACATTCTACCTGCGTCTAGTCAAGCTAATTTGGAGACCTGTGTTATCCACCTGCAAAGTATTGATAATATCTTACCTTCAATCTCACATACTTTGGACATGTAATCAAAAGGATCAGACTCTGAAGAACAGACATCATGCATAGAGGGTCAGAGAAAAAGAGGACGACACTCAACAAGAGCTAAAACAATGATCTCAGGAAAGGGGCAGTGTGTCATTCTGTCATATATAGGCTCACCTTGAATCAACTGTAAGGACGGTTATAGAATTAAGAGAATCTAAAGCATGTCATAAAACGTGTGTGTGCTATAACGCACGGAATAAATTTAGTACACTCCGCTCATACATAGAAGTTCATCATGAAGGCACATCATTTCAGTCAAGACTCAGTTGCCATTGTCTCTGAGGAACAAGGGTCTCAGAATTCTGTCTACAATCATTACCTTTCCAGAGATAACACCTGCAAAACTGAATACTTGATGAAGAACATCTTTGAAAGCTAACATGTCTTAGAAGAGTTTTATAATAGCCATGTGGCCCATCAAAACCAGTCTTTTTACCGTGGTGCCTCTTAGCTCCTCTGGCAAATTGATCCCATTGCTCCATTATCATAATTTTTGTCACCCGCTCTCCTGGTGCAGATGTTAGGGAGATTTCTCCATTTTTGCCATCCTTTTCATATCATGCTTTCCCTAACCTGTTTATCCCCCTTCTTCTCCCTACAGTAAACAAGATTTTCAAAATTCTTTTCAAGGAAATAAGCCAAGTTAAAAGACCAGACAAGGAAAAAGTTGCAACACTGCAAAAAAATGTTAAACTTTAGAGTAATCTTTATCCTTTAAGGTCACTAAAATATGAGTTACATGGAACTTGCCTCAGATATTTGCCTTAAGATATGGAATTCAACTTTTTTTTCTGAAATTAACTCTTTGAAATCTGGAAAAGATAAAAAATAACAGGAGTGGAGAAGCTTGTGGAAGTACAAATTTTCTGAATAAGAATTGAGAACCAAGAGCTTCATTTATTTATTTCCTTGGCTCTGCAATCTCAAGTCTAGAAATCATTGCACTTGTATCAGCATATAATAATAACAAACATTGCGTTTGTGAGGCTATAAATTGCATGGGAGGAGATTGTCCATCTTTCTCCTGTGGAGCCTCACGTGGATTCAAACTGCTGAAAAGGTGTAGTTTTGGGGTGAACATCATGACTCA